GAATCTATACATAATAAACCAACTTGGTCTCCTAAATATATGCAGGCTAATGCACCTAACTAAAGCTCAGGATACATTCTTCTCCAATGTGCATGGGATACTCTCCAGAATATATCATATTTTAAGTCACAAATCAAGCCTCAATAAATTAAAAAGTACAGAAATAAAACAAAGTATTTTCTTAAACCACAAGGCTACAAAATTAGAAGTCAATAACAAGATTATAAATTAGAAAAAAATAACATACATTTGGATCAATACCCTGTTTGAAAATGAGTAGATAATTAAAAAAAAAAAACATAAACTACAAAAGTTTCTTGAAACTAATGACAATCAAAACACAACTTATCAAAAACTCTACAAAACAGCCAAAGCCTTTTTTAGAGGTTAATTTATAATATAAACAAACACATTGAAAGGGAAGCAAAAAAAATTGATTGTTTAAACCAACTCAATGAAGTTGCAACCGAACAGTAAGAAATCCTGACAAAATCTAAAAAAAAATTTAAAAAAATTTTAAAAAATAAAAATTATGGCAGAAATCAAATAAAAAAATGAAAAAAAAGTTGAAACAATCAACAAAACCAGCATTTCATTCTTCAAAAAGGTCCATAAAATTAACAATAGCAAAAGTGACAAAGGAAATGAAAGAAAAGACACAAATAAATAATCCAAAAAGAGATGAAATGGGCAATGTCACACCGGAACTAACTAAAATAAAAAGACAAAGATATATAAAAATAAAACTATACTCAAACAAATATGAAAATCTAGAGGAAATGGACAAACATTTAAAAGTCACAACCTAACTAAGCTTACTCAGATCAAAGTAGAACACCTGAACAGACCCATTACAGAAGAAGAAATTGCAAGGTAATAAAAAAACTTTAAAAAAAGAGTTCTAGACTAGATGGGTTTACTAGTGAATTTTTGCAAACATTCAGAAAAGAAATGACACCAATTTGACATAAAATATTTCATAAAATAGAAAAAGATGGAATTTTCCAGGCTCATTCTATGAAGTTAACATAGCCTCGTTACCAAAGTCAGGTAAATACCCCATAAAAATAGAAAAATAAAGCCAATGTGTCTCATGAAAATAGATAAAATCCTGGCCAATAGAATCCAACATTCTTTTTCTGTCACTTATTGTCCAGCTCTCAGATGCACAGTTGCAAGGCAACTCCTTCTTTTCTGACTGCTGGTACTAAGAGCATTAATTGTTTATCAAAATAAGATGAAGCTGTTGACAGTTTCAATCTCCTCTCCATCCATCATGAGGCTACCTATCAATACAGTTGTAAGAATCTTTATTTTCTTGACAAATATAAGCTGATTGCCTACTTCTAATTTCGTTAACAATCAGCTGTAGGCTGGAAGCCTATTGTTTAGGCAATCAGAAATTGGTGGTCAGGCCTTTGCATTTAAAAGTTGGTTGGGCCACTGTACCTGAGGCCTTCAACCTGGTGTTAATTGTGATTGACAAGAACATTGTTCTAAGTGGTACTGCACTTGTCTGTCAGTTTTCTGTACTGAGATAACTTGGGGTCATTGTTACACCGAAATATGTGCCACTGTTGTGTCAAATGTCATTTGGATTACTCATGGTGGACAGGTTTTGGTGGAACTCCTTGATTAAGACAGACTAGGAAGCAACGTGGGCCATCTACTTCCTAAGTAATAGAACTTCTAAAGCCCTATGAGCACTAAAGAAAGAGCGTGTTCATGAATAAGAACGTTCATTATAGTGAAAATGACAATTCTATCAAACACAATCTACAAGTTCAAGGCTACAAATGATGGAAAAGGCAATTCTCAATTTTATCTGGAATGGAAAGTTATCCAGAAAGGTAAATCACTCTTGAAAAAGAGAAACAAAGTAAGAGACATCTCACTTCCTGATTTCAAACCATGCTACACAGCTGTGGTGGTCAAGACAGTGTGGATCAGGTACGGTGACAGACACATAGAACAATGGAATATAATTGAGAACCCATAAGTCTGCTTATCTACCTATGGTCAACAGAGACAAAATGAGTTAAGTAAGGAAATGACAGCCTCTTACACAAATGGTGTTGGCAAACCTGGAAAACCATCTGTAGAAAATTCAAGGAAGACCCAAACCATGTACTATTAACAAAAACTAACTCGAGGTGGATCAAGGACTTAGGAGAAAGACAAAAGCCTATAAAGTTCATCAGAGAAAAACATGCAAGAACTCTAGAAGCCCTAATCCACAGTATGAACAGCCTTCCAGCCATCTGAAAAACTTGAATCAGGAAAGAATAAAATAGAGTAATAGGACTTTATAAAAATAAAATTTCCTATGTACATCAAAAACTTCTTCAACAGGTTAAGAAGGAAACCTACCGATTGGGGGAAAAAATATTTGGCCATTACATAGGTGGTAAGGGATTTATATCTAAAATTTATAGAAATCTCTGGCATCTCAACAAGAAAAAGGTAACCTAATTGCAAAACGGGTACAGGATATGAACAGACACTCCACTGAAGAAGATAGTTAGATGGCAAATAAAGACATAAAGAAATATTCAAAATCCCTAGCTATCAGAGAGATGCAAATAAAAACAACTATGAGATATCATCTCATGCCAGCAACAATAACAAAGTTAAACAGAGCAGCAAACAACAAATTCTGGTGAGGTTGTGGAGAGTTTGGAACCTCTGTTCACTGCTGGTGGGAGTATACAAATGGCACAACCACTGTGAAAGGTGGTATGGTGCTTTCTCATAAAGTTGGAAGTAGAAATACCATTTGACCCAGCAATTGTACTACTCGAAGTATAACCTAAAAAACCCAGAGCTGCCACCCAAAAAGATTTATGAATTTATTGCTGCTTGTTCAAAATAGCAAGAATATGATAAACACAACATGGGTGACTCTGGAAAGCATCATGCTGAGTGAAATAGCTCAGTCAAAAAATGTCAAATACTGCATAATAACCAGGTTATAAAACAGGGATGACAAGAGGGGTTGGGAGGAAACCAGGAAAAGAGGGGATGGACAATGACCACTACATTGGAACAGAAGAGGGAAAGAACTTCTTAAAAGGAATATATGGTTGGGCATTATTTGTATGACAACAGTCCAGAACAAGAAGTGCATTGCAAAGTGGATTGGGGAGGGGGTGTGTGTGTGAGGAAATTGTGAAACAATGAATGTTTTTTCAAAAAAGTGATCAGGCAGAGGAGGAAAGGAGGGAGAAGGAAGAAAAAGTGCACCAATGAATAAATGAAAATCCAACTTTTCTGTAACTTTTTGTTAAAATGACAATAAAAATGCAATCTTAATAAATTTATTAATTTAGATGAAATGAAAAACTTTAAAAAAACATGATGTATAGAATTTATCCAAAGAATAACTGTAAATTGATCTAGCCATACATGTATTAAAATTGTATTTATTATTAAAGCCTATCTCCAAAGGAAAA